AACCTGCTTCTGGCCCGTCACTGTGGAAAAATGATCTGGTCATTCGTTTCCTAGAAATAGCTAAGAGGATGAATCCTCCCAGACCCCCATCTATCCCCATGTGGGACCTTTCCATGGTGCTAGCTGCCCTGAAAGGAGCCCCATTCGATATCCAATCCAGACATCGGATATGAAACACTTGTCTTTCAAAACAGTGTTTCTCATGGCTCTTGCGTCAGTAAAACGCATAGGGGATCTGCAAGCGCTCTCAATAAGCGCAACGTGTCTGGAATTTGGGCCTAACGACTCAAAAGTCATACTCAAACCAAGACACGGATACGTGCCTAAATCCCTCAACACACCGTTTAGGGCCCAGGTTATCTCCCTGTCTGCCCTACCGATTCATAATGAGGAGGAAAGCACAGGCCTCCTTTGCCCAGTAAGGGCATTAAAGGCCTACGTATCTCGCTCGTCTGTTTTCAGACAGACTGAGCAGCTTTTCGTTTCGTTCAGCGGTCGCGCTAAGGGCCTAGCCGCTACGAAACAGACCCTATCCAGATGGATAGTTGATACCATAGCAATGGCATACACTACAAAGGGACTTGAGTGCCCTTTAGGTGTTAGAGCACACTCCACCAGAGGTATGGCCTCATCGTGGGCGTGGTCTAGTGGGATCTCTTTACAAGATATCTGTATGGCGGCAGGCTGGGCCTCCCCGTCTACATTTTTAAGGGTTTATAACCTAGAAGTTCCCGCCTTACAAGCCAAATTGCTGTCGGTTTAAAAGTCAAGTACCACCTGCCCCGTCGTTTCGGCGCAGAGTACTGCACTTGCTTGAGCACCGCTCAACGGGCTGTGAGTTTTTTCCCAAGGGAAAATAATGCCCGTACTATCACTCAGTACAGGCCGAAGTTTTTCTCTTCACCCTGACTGTGTGTGACACTATTATAATGAATAGCCTTTCTTGTGGCTAAATTATTTGAGAATGATGCTGCTAGCCTCTCTTCTCGGACTCTCTGTGAGTTCATGGTGATTATGCACTATATGCGGCCCGGGCACTTGCCCCTTGGGACTTTGGTGTTGAATCCCTACATGCACGGCGTTTTGCATAGTGTTCCCCTAGCGTAAGATATTACGCAGTACGAGAGAACCTCTCGTAAGAGAACGTACTCGGTTACTAACGTAACCTCAGTTCTCTCTAGAAGAGGGAACGAGTACTGCGTATCTTGCCGTGCCTGCTACACGCTGGTTCGCTTCGGCGATGAAAAACCAGTGATATCAGCCCATCGAGCTATGTTTATAGGGCTAGGCCACGGCCGCTTTGGCGGGAGCGTGACGCAATGGGCATGAAGCATCCCCATTGGACCGTCACCAAAGGGCCGCTCTCGATAGGCTGCTGCAGTTGCCGCAGGACAGCCAATAGGCAAGCTAAGCCGCCTTGCCTATCTCTGCATGCTGCCGCAACGCGCTTTGCAATAATTCAAAATTAAGGATAATTTTTTGGCTTCAATATCTCGAGAAAAAGATGTTTTCCCCTAGCGTAAGATATTACGCAGTACTCGTTCCCTATTCTAGAGAGAGCTCACCTTCATAGTGAAAACAGTACCATAATCTCCAGATCCACAGATTAACAAATGCGCATGAGAGTCCAGAAATTCATGCACCAGATCCTACTGAACGATTTCATGTTTTTGAATAAATTGGTTGAGGAAATAATTCAATAACTCATTCACAATGGTAATCATATATTTCATTACTGAAGTATGTTGAATGTAAAAATGCGCATTAAAAAACCGCGCTCAACTGAGTCGAATATATTTTTTATCTGATAAGAAAACATGCACATAAACTATAATAGAAACACATTTACTAGGGATGCACAGAAATTACAATTCTTGGCCGAAACCAAAAATTCTGAATGCTCTTGGCCGAAAACCCAAACCGAAAATGCTTTTTAAAAAATAGCTAAATTGTTGCAGCTAAATAATTGTGTTAATATTAGACTTTTTAATGAAATTCAGTAGTTGTACTGAATTAAAAAAAATACAATCCAATAAAATAAAGTAACCACACTTTTAATGAAAGTAACAATCAAATTGGACAGAAAAAAATATTTCATATTAAATATCAATATATTATTAAAATTTAATGCAACAGAATCAGATTTAACAGATTTATTTTTTACCAATTATTCAAACAATGCATTTTAATATAAAGCTAAAGCTATAGGTATTATCAGAGCATGTGAACTGAGCGTAGCAAGGAGTGGATCATTCAACAAAAGCGTACAGCACGGCTATACCACACCATGTAAGGCAATTGCAAACAGAAACAAGTATATTACTACATAGAAATTTCATGTTGGCACGTTTTTTGAGCGGACTTTTGCTTTTCCAATGAGTATGATGAGGTACATGAGTGGAGCGTTTGCATGGGCCTTGAGCGACTGAGCGGAGCGTCATAGGGATTACGGCTAAAGCGAGAGTGAAACCTGAGCGCTGAACACTGAGTGGCGGCGGGGGCGGCATTTATTTATTATTTCAGTGCATCCCTAACATTTACAGAATAAATTCCTCAATGCACATCCTAAAAAAGAAATGTGACTTTGCAGTGGGACGGCATAACTGGACCAGCCAGCCGCGGACCGATGTCATTGCTCAGAATCTGAAATGCTGTTTTGGTCATTCTGAAATGCCTGAGCAAAGTGTGTTGTCAAAGTTTTTCTGTAAACTATCTCTCAGAACTGTCTTATACGGCTGTGTTTCCAAACAAAGATAACATGACTGCGTGCTTATTGTGTTTCGTCAGCTCGATCTGAGTTATATATTATAGGCCTATAAGTTAAATTTGCGACATTGGAGGGAAACTTTGTGTGTCTGGACAAATAAAGAAAACCAGAGTGATACAAACAATGAAGAGGTATAGATTCGAGGACAGTAACTCAAGAAAGTATATAATTTACAGGAGACTTATGTGAATAAGTATAATCGTGTTTATTGTTTACAAACCCTCCATTTGGTTGGTCTCTGTGTAAATCACAAAATCATAATCCTGACTGATGATATTATTCTGACTGACAAGATTTTTTTCATTTTCTACTACTGTAAACTTTTCCTTGATCAACCCCACTGGACTTTAGAGGTCCATAACTAAAGAAAGAAACCTTTTTTTTTTTGGTGATTATTTATTCTAGTGTACGAAAAACCTGTATATAGTACCATATAATATCAAATGTAATCAAAAAATATATTCAAAATGTTGTGTCATATGATGTGTAAGTCACGTCAGATGTCTGTTTTCATGTCTGTCATTCCACTGTATGTTTTTGTACTGTATCATTCCACTGTATGTTTTTGTACTGTATCATTCCACTGTACTGTATTGTGCTGACAACAAAGACAAATCCCTGAGGTAAAAAAAAAAAAAAAAAAGATTTATCATTATGTTTGGGTGATAACTAATAAATTACCAAGTAAATTTCATCACACATATTAACAAATCATCCAACCATCTGTTGATTGTTGAATGTAATGTCACAGGGATGCTGAAGCCTGCAGTGTCTCGGGCCAAATGATCAAATCATTGCAACACAAAATGACACAAAATGTTTGATTAGTTTGATTATAAAAAAAAGTTCTGATAGTATGAGTAGGCTACAAGCAGCCTACTTTGTGGTAATTTTTTTGTAAAAAAAAAAAAAATACAAGACAAGACAATCATGTGCCATTCAAAATGTATATTATCAATAGGACAAAGAACATGCAAAATGCAGAAACACAAACCCTAAAACCATGTTCTTGTGTGCACATATTCTGTTGTTATCTCTCACGGTTTGATTTTAAGATAGCTTCTCAAATGCATTGTGAAGTTGCTGGGAAGTCCTCGTCTGATAAATTCTTCCTGGAGCTGAAACATGGAATTTTTTTTCAGTGAGATATTTTGGAGCTAAATATATTACAAAGATCTGTAAATAATAATAATAATTATTATTATTTCTGTCAGGACCACTATCGTCAAATATGATTGACAATTAGCATACAGTTTGGATTGGTGACATGGTTCTGTTCTGGGCAAGACCTCCCTGCGCATCCATACAGCCTAGCATGGATAAGAGCAGGGAGAGCAGCAATACCCCCCCTCAGGGTAAACACAACAGAACCAACGTGAATGTTTTGCAGATATCATTAATTCAAGATTTGAATGTACCACATAATTTGAGAATTCTGATTCAAAGGGTAATCAGAATGACAAATCCTGACTGGACGAGAGGGGGCGCTGGGGATGGAGGAGGGCAATTAGCTAATGAGAAACGCGATAGCTGCTGATAATGCTGAAGGAGCTTATATACGAATACAGTGATGGCGTCGTATTCCTATAGGTACTAGATGTGGATCAGCTGAGAGTCAGCTGATGCGAGCTTGACTAACGTGACCTGCCAGAACTGACGCTACACTTGATTATTATTATGCTGTTCTAAAGTAATTAGTAATTTATTTATTTCGCATGTGTTTTTTGTTTCTTTTTGTGCAACAAAAAATAAAAGCATTATGAGTGTTTTGAACTGTTTCTCACCTGTATAATCACAAACTCTTTAATCTGAGACTCTGACAGATTTTCCGCACTTGTAATTTTAACTCTCAGTCCCATCACTGATCAGTAAAAAAACAAACAAAAATAAAACACTGGTCAGTAGTGCATGAATACAAACAATACAATCCGGTAATGTTGATGTATGTTGAAAAACACTCATTTTGGACTGAAAACAGCACATATCTCCACAAACATACCATATACATCTTTTTCTAATTGATGGGTCAGAATGATGATCATCATGTTCACCAGAAAGCAAATAGAAGACAGAGCTAGCATTAGCATAAAAGTTTGTGAATTACACAAATAACAATGGCATATTAACTCAACAATTTATTGTAATCCATTTGCTTGTTTTTTCCCCTAATGCTTTATTATGCCAATGCCAATTATTTAATTTCATTACAGAAGTTATATTTGCTTACCACTGTAACAGAAGAAAGGCAAACTGGCAAAGCAGCTTTCATCCGTCCACTGATCAAAGTATTTTAGAGACACAGCTGTGCAGTGTTGAGCTCCCTGCAGTCCTTGGACATTTGCACCATTATCTGGTTGTGCAATATCACCTGGAGTCTATGGCAGCCAATATGTGAAGGAAGAGCTGCTCTGATCTGACCACAGTCTGTTTCTGTGCAGACCAACCCATACATAATAACCATAACCAGAATAATAACGTGTAACATTCAGTATCTGTTGACGCTCTGTCTCATTTCTCACACTGGCCAGGTCTGTGTATTTCTCTCTGCAGTAGCTCTGAGCTCCAGTCCAGGTCTTACCCTCATTTACCACAACATACTTTTGAGAGGCGTTTTCTCTACCTAAGATAAAACAATTTGTTGGATGTAAATCAGTAAATGTATTTGTTATTTGTCAAATTTATGGTTATATAATAAAACACATTTTTTTAAATAAAAAAAAACATTACTAATTAGCCTAAGCAAAGAATGAAAAACAGTCTTTTTCAATTTGGGGTTTAAATTTGGAAGAAAAATATTGAACACTTCAGGATCTTTCAGGAATGAAAATCCATTCTTTGACAAATCTCAAAGCAAAAGAAGACAGACAGACACACACAGACACACAGACACACACACACACACACACACACACACACACACACACACACACACACACTTTTTACTTGTAATGCCTTACCATTGTAGCAAACAAATGTGTAATAACTTTCACATGATGAATCAAACCAGTTTCCATTATAATCCATGTAAACACACAGTTCATTCGCTCCATTGTTGGGTTCATGATACCAGTTCCTGAAATCTCTCTCTCCTTCCTGATAGAAATCATTGTTTTCCAATGACCATCTCCAGCTGTTCACATCATCATACTGTCCAATCCAGGCTGAGCCATTATAACTCCCATTAACTGTGTTTATCAGACTGTTCATTTCCTCCATGTTATCAATGGTGGCCAGATCAGTGTAATTCTCTCTGCAGTGTCTCTGAGCTTCAGTCCAGGTCTTAGACTCATTCACAAAGTGATGGGATGATGCTAATGCTGGCAAGGTGGGGAAAAAAGGGTAAGGATAAAAGTAAAAAAGTTACATTAAGTGATTCATAAAGATTACGCTACTTGTAAGGACATTTTGGATTTGGAATTAATTAACTTTTGTAGAATGTTTGTAGACTAAATAAGAGGATCCACATATATATATTTTACATACTTTGGTAACTCTTTACAATAAAGTGGTATTAGTTATGTCATGTTTGCATGAACTGACATTTGTTAACATCAATGTATTGATCTTTGTTAACGTTAGTCACATATAGAACCTCAGGATGGTCATTGGAAAACAATGATTACCCCTCAGAGCTAAACAATTACCGTCCGATCTCCAAACTCTCAATCCTGGCTAAGATCCTTGAATCCCAGGTAAATTTACAGGTAAAACAGTTCTTATTTGATAATAATATTTTAAACAATTTTCAATCTGGTTTTAGAACTGGCCACAGTACCATTACTGCTGCTATGGTGGTAATAAATGATCTTATTTGTTCCTTGGACAGAAAACAGCATTGCGCTGCTTTATTTGCAGATCTATCCAAAGGCGTTTGATTCTGTAGATCATGAATTGTTGCTGAACAAACTTAGGGATGCTGGTTTCTGTCCTAATGCTGTTAAATGGTTTAGAAACTCTTTTGTAGATCGGACTCAGTGTGTCCATGCAGAGGGCCACAAATCTGAGTTTCTTGAGATATCAAAAGGGGTCCCCCCAGGGGTCTATTTTGGGACATATTCTGTTCTCTATTTTTATAAATGATTTAGGTAAGGACGTTCAAGCAAAAGTACACTTCTATGCTGATGACACTGTCATTTATACACATGCTCCTTCCATAGCACAGGCTGTGCAAGAGCTTCAGACTGCATTTCAGTCATTACAAACTGCTCTGTTCAATTTAAAATTGATTTTAAGTCCTCAGAAAACGAAGTTCATGGTCTTTTCAAAAGCTCGCCTACAGCTGCTTGATGATCTTAGCATTTTTACGTCTGATGGTAAATCCATTGAAAGGGTACCAACATACAAGTACTTGGGTATATGGATAGACGACAAACTTTTATTTAATGAACATATTGCTAATCTAGTTAGGAAGCTCAAAGTGAAGATTGGCTTTTATTTTAGAAATAAATCTAGCTTTACTTTCAATGCCAAAAAAAACTTGTGGAAGCTACTTTTCTGTCTGTGATCGATTATGGTGACATATTATATATGCATGCAGCCTCCTCCATCTTACGGAGGCTTGATTCAGTGAATCATGCGTCTCTACGCTTTATTACAAATGCAAAGTCCCTCACTCACCATTGCATTCTTTATGATCTGGTGGGTTGGACAGCACTGGCCACCCGCAGAAAACAACACTGGTATATTTTTATATATAAAGCCATACTACGTAAACTTCCAGCTTACCTCTGTACCCTCCTCTGTCTCAATTCTGCTAGTTATCAGCTACGCTCCTCCAAGTGGTTGCTTTTTAATGTACCCAGGGTTTTGAAAGATCTGGGAAAATCTGCATTTTCATACTATGCACCCTGGGCATGGAATAATTTGCAAAAAGATCTTAAACTAGAAACGTGTATATCAATTGATAAATTTACGAGTATCATAAAGAATGTGGTAAAGGAGACATGTGCTTGGTTTTCTTGAAAGGCCATTGTGTTTGAATGATTTTTTGGCAAGATTGTATGTATGTATGTATGTATAGCATTTTTTTACTATGTTGTATTTATGTATGGCTGCTACCTTGTATGTAGCATTTTAATATGTGTGTTTATGTATGGCTGCTACCTTGGCCAGGTCTCTCTTGTAAAAGAGATTTTCATCTCAATGAGACTTCCTGGTAAAATAAAGGTAAAAGAAAGAAAGAAAGAACTATATGTAACTAACGTTAACATAGATTGATACTTTAATGCTAGATCAGGTTCATTAAAAAATCTTTTTTTATAATAACATGTTTTTTTTTTATAAATGTTGAAATTAACATTAACTGAGATTAATAAATGCTTTTGAAGTATTTTTCATTGTTAGTTCATGTTAACTAATATAGTTGTTAACATATAGAATATTTTTGTAAAGTGTTACACATATTTTCTTAAAATATGATGAAAAAATAAATCTGGTCCAGAGAGTGGTGTACACTTAAAAGTCAACCTTGTGCATTTCTTAACGTAGGTGCACGTAATACTCACCACTGTAGCAAATGAAAGATAATGCAGTATTGCAGTTTTCATCTGTCCAGCTCCCAGAGTCTCTAAATGACACTGCAGTGCAGTATTCACTGTTTCCAGCATTATCTGGCTGTCCTGTTCTCCAGTTACTGAATGAAGAGTTGCTCTGATCTGACCAAGATCTGGTTCTGTACAGTCCAATCCAAAAAGAGGAATAATACTGTAATAATGACTGAAGTTTGAGGTTTTCAGTCTCATTCCTGATACTGACGAGGTCTGTGTGATGTTCTCTGCAGTAACTCTGAGCTTCAGTCCAGTTTTTGGACTGGTAAACAAACACGTAACTTGTACTAGCATTCAATCTTCCTGCAGGGAATAAATGTGTATGTGATATATGCATGGTGTCATAAATATATTGTTCTAAAAACTTTAAAAAGTCAACAGGAGTTCTCACCATCATAGCAAACAAATGGAAGTGTATAGTAACAAGAGATTTCACGCCATATTCCCCAATAATATGACATGTGCACACACAGACTCTGTCCACCTGAGTTCACTGGTTGCTGGACATACCAGCTTTTAAATCCTCCTTCTAAACTTGCATTATCCAGAGACCATTTCCAGCTGTTCAGATCATCATAGAGACCAATCCAAGCTTTGCCATAATAAGTCCTACGTACTGTTTTAAAGAGCCTGTTCATTTCTTCCATGTTATCAATGGTGGCCAGATCAGTGTAATTCTCTCTGCAGTGTCTCTGAGCTTCAGTCCAGGTCTTATTCTCAGATACAAAGTGATACTGACGGGTGCATGAAGATTGTGTGCAAGTTCCTGTAAGTTTAAAATAAAAAATGGAATGCATTTGATTATTCTTTACAATCACCAATATATCATGAAACTATTAAAATTGTTTTATTGTGGAGGTCTTTCAAATGTACTTAAAACAATATATATATTATATTAACTGTCATTCATGGGTGAATGACAAGATGGCAGCTGGCAAGTGTGGTGTGCTTGTAGCATACATATTAATTATACATTTTTTAGAAAACGGCCCTAAAACCTGTTTTGTGGGGCATTTACATAGTTGTTATGCTCACTCAAACAAACTTTTATTTAAAAAACAGTTTGGTTATGGGAAGAAAATCTTTATGGACACATTTCTCTATCCATGTTGGTATCCAGCCAAGCGCAATGATAAAGGAGATAACGGTGGCGTCAAAAGGCAAGTGAATGGCGACCAATTTATAATTTGTATCTGCCTATTATTATCTGGAGACATACATCAATGCCTGGGCCCGATGCAGAAATTTGGATCAACGAAAACAATGTCAAGTAGGCCCTCTGCATGTGCAATGGCTTGCTCTAGACATCCAAACGCCGGGGACAAACTCCTATCCATGAGTGTCGCTGAAGGGAGTGGAAGCGTGCACGGAAGCGCCGGGAGAAGTGGTGGAGATCCGGAACTGGGAGACACGATATCGAATGTGGATTCTTTCTTGTCGACGAGAGGATTACACCTGCTTCATCTCAACGTCAGGAGCCTTCTCCCGAAAATCACAGAGATCCGACACCTCAGTAAAAGCAGAAAGGTGGGAATATTTTGTTTCACCGAGACATGGCTGGATGACTCCATTATACGGACGCTGAAATTGAACTGGAGAACTATTTCGTAATTAGGAGAGATCGAAACCGCAAAGGTGGAGGGGTGTGTATATATGTAAGAGCGGACATTGGTTTTAATCATAGAATGGATTTAAATAGTGAGGTTGAAGCGGTCTGGTTAGATATTTTGCTACCGAAGAGTAAGCCCATACTAATTTGCGCATGATATAGACCGCCTGATCAAACACAGTTTTATGAACTTTTAGAGGATGTTTGTTCAAATTGCATGGACTTGGTTAAATCAGAAGTTATCATGTTGGGGGATTTCAACACTGATTTTCAGAAAAGTGATGTTTCTGGGTATAAAGCATTGATGCATTTCTTTCGCTCCTATAGTTTACATCAGCTGATTGATGAACCTACACGTGTGTGCTCTACTACCACCCAAACCACGATTGACCTTGTCCTAGTGTCAGACAAATCTAGGATAACTGAAAGCGGGGTTATAAAATATGGGTTGAGTGACCATTCTATTATCTTCTCTATACTAGAAAGATCAAGCAAGCAGTGGTTAACTGTCATACTTCTATTAAGATCCGGTCACTGAAAAAGTATAGCAAAGAAGCGCTGAATGGCTGCTTAATTAAAATGAACTGGTCTACGGTTTTGCTATGTAGTGATGTGGACAAAGCATGGTGCTTATTTAAAAGTATGTTTTTAGAAGCTATAGATAAAATAGCCCCATATAAGGAAATCAGAATAAAGCAGAGAACAGAACCCTGGGTAAATGATGACATCTTTGAGGCAATTAGGCTAAGAAACAGGAAGTATGGGAAATTCAGAGAAAAAAAGGATGAGCAGAGTTGGGCTGGTTATAAAAAGGCAAGAAATTAAGTTAACAAATTAGTTGTCAATACTAAAAAGGCATTTTTCAATGAAAAAATTGCTGAATACAGAAATGACTCAGGAAAGCTATGGAAATCCCTTAAGCACCTTGGCTACAGTAAAAGGCTAAAAACAAAAAACACTAATATTACTCTAGATCTTGGCAACAATATTACATCAGAGAATGAGATAGTGGCAGATAGCTTTAATCAGTTAGGTGTTCAGGCGAGGAGTTTCTCTTTTGAAAAGGTGAGGGAGGCACTTGTTCTTGAGAAGCTGAAGAGGCTTCTCTAAAGCCACAGGATTAGATTCTATTCCATCTAGATTCGCGAGGG